TTCCCTAAGAAACACAAAATGCAGCATCAGCAGACCTTGAGATATCAAGAGGTAGTTTGTACCAAAAATGGGATGAAGAACTTTCCTGACAAAATTCCTGTCTTGCTTGGTATACTGATGGAAAAGGAAAGATTATGAAAGGAAAGTAATGAAGTCAGGCAAATCTCAAACTGATGGAAAAGGAAAGATTATGAAAGGAGAGTAATGAAGTCAGGCAAACCTCAGTCCTATTCCTTGCTTGACTGAGGTGATTAAGAAGGGTGTTTTTTTCTGTTTAAGTTTTGGTTCAATGTCCTTTGATGTTTACTTTGTCATGTGGGATAGGGGCTATGGTTTGAGGGATTCTTGCTTGTGTGAGGCTCAGTTGTCATAATGTTAGTGTATTGTGAAAAAGAAGAGGCAGTAAGAAGAGTTGAGAGGCTGAGGTATCTGACTACGTCTCAAGAGACTGGATTGATTTCATGGCTATACAACTGAATTTTTATATTATACCAGCATGGAATTGTTGAATTACTTTATTCTGTGAAGGAGTTAAGAGAACTCAACTAATCTTGCAGCTCTTACACTAAGGTAGGAGCCATACAGTCTCATGGTCCGGAATGGTTATTTGCCTCTTGCTGCTCAGTACAATGAACTCAACTCCCTGACCTTAGGGAGTGTTACCTTTTTTAGATCTGTAGTGTTTCATGAGGATGTTGATTCTTTTCCCCCCTCCCCCAAATTTTATATTGAGTACAAGTCCATTCTGTCATCATCTGTCTTCAAAGCATTGTAGAAGTTTGTGTACCTAACTGAAAAATCTTGGCAATGAGAAGACTTCTGAGGATACACAGGAATTTTATTTGTGATTTTAAGAAAAATCAGTTAGTACCTCAAGTATGGTATCACCCTTACAACTGGAGAATTTTGAGGGTGCCTTCCCTAGCTGCATTTCCCCCTCCCAGTTTGAAGCTTATAGGACCACGGGAATATTTATGATCTAGTAAAATCACCATCCAAGGAAAGCAATTATTTCAGTCTGATTCTTATTGATACTTAAAGATCTTACCACATCAGCTTCCATGCCACCATTCTTTGTAAATGAGGCTTTAAGTATTCTGTAGTGCTTTCTTTGGTACAGGAGTAGAGAAGATAGCCTAAAAATAACAGGAGTGTCTTAAGTTCATGAGAGAAAAAAACAAAACAAAACCTAATCCAAAATTTTGTTAAATTAAAATTTAAGGCTTATACTTGTATAATACCGTAGTGTCATATTTAGTCCCCTGGCTTATATGAATTTTTACCAAGAAAATGAATAATTTTGCTCAATCAGCAGTATTGACCTAAAAACTATAAATAAATTATGGAAATACTGAATACTGGATGAAATGCTGCTTTAACAGTGTATAGTAAATAAGCTTTTATTTAATTCATAGGCACTTTACTAGTTGTCTTAATTGAATCAGACTTGAGAAGTAATATTGGGTTGACAAAAGAAAAATTAATTCTTCATTCATTCTTAAATTTTCATTTTTGTTATAGGGAATGGAGTAAGGAATTCTAATTGTTCCACCAAGTATGACTGACCACAGGATACTGTCAGAATGTTCAAGGAAAGGTTTCTGTGTAAAGCTATCAAACAGATAAAACATCATAGAATGGATTCTTGCTGAAAAAGTGAATGGGATAGGGTGGAAGGGAAGTTAGTTTACTAGTATTTGTTGAATCATGCTTTTGGCAAAAAACACTTATTATCAGATTAAAAAAACCCCACAAACAAAAACCAGAAGAGACAATGGAATGGATAGGAAGGAAGAATATAATTTCAGAGGCTGTTTCATGTAGAGATTTCTAGAAAAATTGGACCTAATATAATTAGAAAGGGGTAAAGTCATATGCCTCTTGGAGATACTGTCTGTGACTTAAATTATGTTGAATATATTAGCTAAGAAATAGTATGAAGAACGTATACCTGACTATCTAACTTGGAAAATAAAAAAATACTACCTGAGTCAGATTGGGCTTTGAAAGGTTGGGTTCTTAAGTAGCTTTTTTCTTAACTGTTCTGATAGATTAAATGTTAATTTAAATGCTAACTTACTCTGGTATTTGAATTTTTTTCCCCATCTTTCTGTTTACTAGGCTCACTATTTACAGCCTCTAGTGGCTGTTCAACTAGCAATTAACTCCAACAGTACCAAAGAAGAAATAGCAATTGAGTGTAAGATCCTGGGCTCACCTAATTTAAAAAATGAAGATGATCGTGACAAGTTTCTGGGACGAATTGCCTTCAAAGTTCAGATGACTGAATAGCAGGAGTGAAAAATTCTGCACAAAGTAAACGTTGTGTTGTCTGTTTTGTATCAGCTGGACACGCTGTTCTAGGATATGAGACCACCTTGGAGAATGTTAAGGTGGTTTATGGCGTTCAGGGTAGCATAATAATATGCTTCCAAATCGTATGTTTAAAATCCCTCAAAATAAATGCCTGTCCTGCTTTTGCCTCCCCCATTGGAACAGTGTACAGACTATAGTTATGTCATAGGGACCTGTAAATAGCTGTTTTCAAACACATAATAATGGTGACCTTTGTCCTGTTCTAAAATGTGGTTTTATCCCCCAAGCGAGTGTCTCAAGCTTAATGTGCTGTGCTATGTAAATATTGTATTGATTTAACACTGGTTTAACTGTCATATCTCAATGCTGACACAGTTATAGGGATAAATAATAAATGGTACCTGATTGACATAGTGATCTTTTTGTAAGAGTAAACACCTCCAACGTAAATTGTGTGTATGGGAGTGGGTGGGTGAATGGAAGGCTGTGTGGAGATGCCTTAAATTGTAGACTGGGTGGCGTGGGAGAATTGAAATGGATTTTGAGAGTTGGTATGGATTTCTGAAAGTAAGTGCTTAACTAGTACTTTCTTGTGCTTGTCACTGTGCAGGTATTGTGTACATGTTAATACTTGGTATAGAGTTTGGTATTCTAGATGAGGAATTGACTCTTCATGTTGTTAATTGCTTGCGATATGTGGAGCACAAATAAAATCTATACAATATTTTAAAATTTTAGTTCAGAAATATCAATATACAACAATTTAAATTTTTTAGGGTCTTGGTAATAGTTGTACATCAGAGCTGCTTGAAAGAAATGGCCTCACCTTTGTGGGAATAGGCTTTCATTTTCCAATTAAAAAATTTCCTGAAGGTGCTCTGTTTAAAAAAAAAAAAAAAAAAAAAAAAGAAAAAAAATTGTCTTGATTAAACATCCCTGTTTAATTTATATACTCTGTTTTGTTGCATCATTATAACATGCTTCACATCTTTGTCTGCTTTTTCATCTAGGATTTTCTGTGTATTTCCTCATCATCCATTTAGAAAATTGGTGTCAAGTGCTTTACAGAAATATCCTATTGACTTGGTGTGGATTACTTGCAGTTTAACTTAAATATTTTTATTAATCCAGTTGCTAAAATGACCACAAATAGACTGGTTTATTTGTGACTGCTCCTCACGTTAAACCAAGTTGACCCGTTATATTGAGTTATAACTTCTGTAGTCTTGCTGACATGGGTTTTATAAAATTTTCCGCTGGGGTTTTTGTTTGTTTGTTTTTGTCTTGGTTTTTTTGAGCACATGGTCCACATTCTGACATCTTCTCAATATTGAAGACCACAGCAAATCAGCATTTGTGTAAAAACCTCTATGTTCTGCTCACCAGGCCTAAATGTGTTACTTAATATGCTTTTATGCCTGATTTTTATAGTGGTTATTAATATTTTATTTAAACAAATTAAAGGAGTGATTACTAAAATTCAAGATCCAGTCTTAACACCCTGCTTTGATAATGTTTGAGGCCAGTCTAAGCCACATTAGTGCAAAACTTAAACACCAGTGCTTACACTGGTGCACAGTTGGAGAGAGCTGCTCTTAATGGGACTTGAACAGTGTGTTGAATCTCATTAAAAATAAGATTTATACTGATCTGGTATCGCTGAGCATGCTTTTTTGTTGTTGTCTACAAAAGAAAAATTGTTGTTCCTTACAATATGCAATGGGTACTTTTGTAATAATAGCATGCATTAATACTGAATAAGAAAGTTCTTTCAAAATATTCTATTACTAATGTTTTATATCATGCACTTTTAGAGCTGGGATACCTGGGTTCTTGAAGATGTGACTAATTGCTTCTCTGTATATTAACACTGCCTGAAAGTATTTTAATAGTCCTGAAGGAACTTAGTCTAGGTGTTGCGTCTGAAAATGAAAAGGATGAGCTCCATGTAAAAAAATTTTCACGTTTGTGTTCACTTAGGAATGGTAAGGTTCTGGAGAAACACTTTCCAAATGAGATGATCTTTGCAACAATTTCTCTTTCGACTTACCTATGTAGACAAAGCATGAAATAGCAACTCTTCACCAGCACTTTTCAGACAGGTAGAACTCAATAAACTCCTGTTCTCCTTAGATTTTGTAGAAGTGTTTTGTTTGGTTTTTTTTTTAATTCAATCACATAAGTATTATCAGTTGTGGGGGGAGAGAAGAAAACTTTTGAAAGGGTTCAGCTGTGAAAATTAGCATGTAAAATGTATGTAGGTAATGAATCTAGTGTTACTAAATTGAACTATTTTCTTATTTTTATTTCTGTGTCTTAAGAATTTGAGTAAGTAAATGATCTGCCAGTTATTTATAAACCATTGTATTGACTGTTAGGACATGATAAAATTACTTATTTTCTTCATGTGAAATTTCCAGTAAAGGTTCCTTGGGCTTATAATTTAAAATTATTATTAAAGATTGAAATTTACCAATTTGTTACTAGAAACCTGAAATGTTTAACCTTTGTACTGGTAAATACTTACTTGTCTTACTGGGTAACTTGTAGTGCCTTTGAGTCTGGAACAAGGACTTTTAAACATTGCAAAACTTCTAGTTGTTGCAGGTGCTGTTTCATACTACCATGAAAACCTACTTGTATCCAATTCAGTTGAAGTACCTTCTTCTCTTTGGCATGCCCCATTCCCACTCCCCCTGCAGCCCCACACATGAACACACGCGTGCAGGGTTAAAAGGGAAGCTGAAGAGAAGATCGTTAAGGGACAAAATTAGCTGAAGGTTTTATTTATACTGATCATGCAGTAGATAAGATGATCCCTTGAGGACAGATGACATTTAGCACTGGTCTGCAATTAATTCCTGCTGTGGAGGATGCTGCTTTTAGGACACTAATAATGAAAACACTACATCAATAGAGTTGTTTTTTCTGGTTCGGTATTTATTTTTTTCTTTTGGGTAAGAATAAATAATACATGTGGAGTTTCCTTCCAGTTTACTTTTGAAGAATATCCCTTCTGTATTGGAAGCTTAATTTAATTAGCTATGCTGGGGGAATAAATAGTTGAAGTAACTTTTCACCTCAGCTGTTCCACATAATGAATCTTTGTCTTGGTGCTTGTTTGGTTACAGGTATTGGGCTACACACCAAAAACGTGACTCCTCTTTTACCTCTGAAGTTACATGACTGTGAAGTTAGCGTTGTTTTAGACAAAGATTTCATCATAGAGGCTTGATTTTACAGTAGTCTTAGTTGCCCTTCAGTTAAAATACATAAAGTAACTGTCATGTTAGAAGAAGCATTTTAATACAAAAGATCAGAGTGGGTTTCTCTGTAGGATATTTTCTACAGTTTTTTTTCCTGTCTAAATGGGAGAGAAGATAGTAAGAGAAAAGCTAAGCCAAAAATTCAGATTATGGCAATTTGAAGTCTGTTAATTTGGTGATTGTGATTCTTAATGTAAAAATCAGTGCAACATGAGGGTTATCAGAAGCTTGCATGTTTGTTTAGATCAAATAGCTCTAATAATTCATGACTAAAAGTAAGACTTTTTTTGTCTCTTTAAATCTCAGGCAAGCACCTAAAGAAGCCAATAAAGGAAATTCCGAAGTTATGTTCAGTAGCATGTACTTAAATCTTTTTGTGATGCAATTCTGAACAGTGAGTATTGCATAAAGCTGTGGAAGCAGTGCCTCATTTTGATTTTGCATTAACTGAAGAGAATTGCTAATAGTTTAATCTGGATTTGGCAACAATTCCTTAAAGGGCTGATAGGTATCAATGTATTTGAAATAAAAATTGTAATCCCATATTTTATTTTAGAAAGTATACTTAGATGTGTATATTGTGTGTTAGAGAGCATTATAATCTTCTGAATTTGCTTGACAGTTAATGTTTTTAGACAATTTTAGTACCCAGATATTTTGTGACTTGTGAGCATATTAATGCTGTTGCTATTTTTCTGACACAAGAGAGCCCCTACAGCGATAACTCCTCTGGGGTTTATTGTCCCTAACAAGGTCTCTCTTAAACCTGCTGTGGCTGTAGATTCTAACTTCAGAAACTGCCACTTCACTCCTAATTACAATGGGATAGATGCACTTACTTAACACTTTAAATATTTTAATGGCTGTTATTTAGTACCAAGTTGTCTGAACATTTTAAGTGTTCTTGTGGATGAGAAAAAGCATACTGCATCAGAGCTTGGGTGAGTTTTAGTGCAAGGAATGGTTTTTGGTTAACTCCTAACTTCTTTTGTTCCTTTTGCCTTTTAAGTTTAGGGAGAGGTTAGCATAGAATTAGTACAGCATCTGTAATTCGATAAATTTATCTCTAAATCTGTTTGGGTTTAGAAATTGCTTAATTTAAACACTACTTAAAAGTGGTAGTAAATTTCAGCCCAGTTGTTTAAATGTTCTTTAAAGCAAATCCACAGATAAGGTTACAAATCTTAATCTACTCTTAAGAAAAGTTCCATGAGTGGCTCTGCCCTCTTTTAGGTGGAAGGTATAGTAGGAGCTCATTATTTCGTCCTCTGGTTCTCTAGAAATCCCCAAGCAAACTGCGCAATAATTCATTGAGCTGTTTTCTTAAGACCCACAGCCACATGTGTAAAGTTAGGAGCTTTCTGAGACTTCTCACCTGGCCCCTCACCTTCAGCATTTCAAGTGACTAAAGCCCAGCACAGTAGCACATTGTAGTGCAGTCTCATCTTCAGGCTTGCAACCCTTGTGCTAGGGAAAAGAAAGGAAGTTGTGTGGCAGGAAGATGTAAGTTTTGAAAGAGGGGAAATGTTCCTAGAGGTGGTTCCCTCAGTCTACATTGATAGCTCTGTATGCTTGTGGATTGAGGAGTTTTTTCCCAAAGGTAAGACAATAGCAGTTAAGAGGAAGTAATGTGGACTGGCTGGGAACTGGGTGGGTGTCAGGCGTGGGACAGTGAAGGTTTGTAATGCTTCTGGGGATTGTGTAAACTTCCTTGTTGGGTATAAGGAAGCTTCTTGAAGCTGTAAAGAGATTGTTGGGAAGGTCTGAAGTGTATTATATGCAAACCAACAGCATTATGGATAGGAGAAAAGTTAAAGAGGTAAAATATAAACTGTTGGGGTTGGTTTGGTTTTGTTTTGTTTTCTAGAGAGCTATATGGTCAAATATTAGCTCCTTTAGTAGCCTTTTCATGAAATGTACTGCATAATTTAGAAAATTATATAGAAAAAAGATGTTAAATTTAGGAAAACCCAGGTCAACTTACAGGACAAAGGGAATATATTTTCCCAGTGTAAATTCCAGCTAGAACAGAACTAGACTTCTATCAGTTAAACAATTTTCAAATAAAATATGAGAGCGAAGCTGATAGACATAAACAGGTTTGCACTGAGGTTCAAGGTGATGCATTAACCTATAGGGAAAGTCTGAAACACCTCTTAATGTTCTTAATTATCTTAATATGAAAACAGAACACGGTGAAGAACAACGTTCATTACACAGAACCCCTTTAATATGAGACAGAAGTAACTGACTCCAAATCAAGTGTGTACCAAAATGCTCGTAGTTTTAAGGGCTTACCTATAGTACTAATATCTTCACTTAAAGACAAGGCATTTCAGAAAAATAGTCAAAGAAAGATGATTAGGGGCACTGTAGAAGTAAGGTACAACTTACACTGGAATGGCAGGGCAGGAGTGATAACTGTGTATTAAAGAAACAAGGTAAAATAGATGTCAGTGAATAATACTGGATGTTGTTTGGACTTAAACACTTTGTCTACATGCTATAGGGTTAAATTAGTAATCAGTTATCAGGATTGTACGGTATCAAGTGCATGAGCTTTTAATGTCAAAATCATATCTAAGTCTCTACAGATTTTTAAGGTGAGAACACATTATTC